GAGTCGAATCCGAGTAGCTCACAAGCTACTCAGTTTGATTGCACCCCTACATATAAGAATGGAATATCTAACCAATATTTCTCATATTTTTCTTCCATTTTTGAAATAATTTCCATTAACACGTCATTATATCAATATTTAGCAAAAAATTTAGAAATTTGAAGTAAATATCTAACGCTAAATTAGTAGTCGGATAATAAATACCACTTAATGTATTAGTGGAATCATAAAAATTTTTAAGAAATTAATAAAAAAGCTCACAAACCGCCCAATCATCATAGTTGATAACTTCCTCTGGATAGTTGTTCTGGTTGACAAAATAGGTAATTTGTCTTGCAGTTGGCAAAGTTTTTTGCAACATCAAGTAGGTGGAGTTCCAATGGATAGGCATGTCCGTACATAACTTCAAAGGTCGAACTGGTGGGTCCTCTTGCCTACAATATTTGACGTACTCTTGCCATCTTTTATTGCTACCGTCAACGATAAATCCAATAGCCGCGTGCACCCTTTCCATCTTCGAATGTATAGCATCTAAACCTACTTTAACAATCAAATTGATGATGTGGCAAACACATCTCTGGTGAAAAAATTTGTCTTCACCACGCGGATCCAATCTCTTTTCAAATAAAGAGATTGTCGTAGTGTTAGCAGCTGCATTATCAAGTGTTAGCATTACAACTCTATCAGTTAATAGATATTCTTGCAAAACTTCAAGAATTGTAAAATAAATAGTGTCAACACTATGTTTTTCATACAATGGTTTAAAACTCATCAATTTTTGTTGTAAACCCCAATTATGATATAAGAAATGTATTGTGATAGTTAAAAAATCTGTTTTTGATCTACAAGCCCATATATCTAATGTAAGTGCAATAGGTATATTTCTAAAATTTTGAAATTTGTTTTTAAGTTTATTATTTATTTTGTTATAAAGTTTTAGTATATCTCTTCTACTTGTACTTCTACTAACAGGGGTATATGTTGGACAAAATGTAGTTTTAATCATGTGAATGAAATAAGGATTTTCAGATAAACAAATGGGAGAGTCCGTAGCAACTATGAATCTTGTTATTTCCTCTCATGCAACATCTGCATTGTATTGCCATGTTGAGAGAGTTGAGGATTGTAGACTAAAATTAAGTTGAGTTTGAATTTGCCTACCTGATCCGGTTGAAGATGTACCGAACAGCTGCATTATTTGGGGGTGCTTCTTCTCCAAGTGTTGTCGCATCGTCAAAGTCCCCTTCTCAGAGCCAATAATGGTTCCACAGAAATTACATACCCCACACAATTCTTCTCCCTCCCCATTTTTCTTTGGCCATTTTGACTCGGTGAAGTGTTGCCATACATCAGACACGACCCTCTTTGACGGTCGGGGGGGTTGGGCTATGCCCATGTCTGTTGAGTCACAGCTCGCTTGTGTTTGGCTGCACCTCATCTTAGTCAAATGTGGTTGTTGAATTGCAATTGCTGCCTCTGGAGGAAAAGGTGAAAATGGATTGAGCCCTTCCATTTCTTCGGTGGATGGAACGTAAAACTCATTTGGGGATGATTCTCCGAATGCATTATTTCGGGAATCCATTATGAATTTATGATAAAATAATAAATAATTAAAATGAAAAAAATTTAAATAATAATATGAATAAGAGATGATATTGAAAAATAGAAAAATATAAATAAATAAATAAATAATATGAATAAATTGTAAATATAAATATAAATTGAATGAGAATTTGATTGGAGATTTGGAGTAGAGAGTAGAGAGATTGAGAGAATGAGAGTTGAGTGGTGTGGAAAAAACGAGAAATTTAGGAGATATTTATAGTATAGTTGGGTGGGGGGGTGGGGTGGGGGATTGTTGGCTACTGCCACCCAACGGTTATTAAACAAATTTTTTTTAATTTTTTAAAATTTATTTTAACCCCTACAATTTATGTTTATTTCAAAATTTATAGGGGGTTTTTATTAATTATCTAAGGGGCTAAAAAAAAAATCAAAAGTTTTTGGGACTGGGCCCTCCTCCTTAGGCCCGGTCTGATTTTGGTACCAAGCCAACTAGGATTGGTCCTCCCGGTCCTAGGACTGGGTTTTTGGACCCGGTCCCAAATGCCCAACTCTAGGTGTAGCAATTCTTCCACAAAGGACTTCCTCATAAGGAGCTTTAAGAAGTCATATTTGAGAAGCAAACTGACACAGAGAGATATGCGTACACATCCACGTTTCAACCTGTGGAGAACTTCACTTCTTCCGATCAAGGACCGGTTGACATTGATGATAGTGAGTTCGAACCTGATTCGGATCAAACGATAGGGGAAAAAGGGTCAAACATATCTGGTCATGGAAGATTGAGAAATAGGAAAAAGAGAAGTGGCCTAGGACACGCACTTGTGAATGTCATTGGCAGATTGACAAATGTGCTTGTTGAGAGTAGTATGAGATCTAGGGCTAATAATCGCAGTTGAGATGAGGGGGATGAAGAGAACACCGGTGCTCCATCTGATCCGTATTCCATGGGCCATTGTATTGACATCTTGATGTCTATGCAAGCACCCTCAGAGTTATACATGCCGGTTGTCAAGTACTTATATCAAAATCCAAGGTGACGGGAGATATTTGTACACCTACCACCCAAGGAAAAGGCTAATTGGATTTGTAATGACTTTTGCAATTTGTAGATGAGCTTGTATGTCCTAAGTGTTTCCCCATAGTTTTGTATACGGTAGTTGGCACTTATTCCTTTTACAGCTAACCCAAACTTTTTTCAGCACCTTGATTTGAAAAATGTACCCTAATGTTTGCTATTATATGAACTTATTCATTGTGCTATTGTTTTAATGTGAGAGAACATGTTTCATATAAGTTCGGGATTGTAATTAGAATTAAAAATTGAATGTTATATTTTGCTAAGTACTAATGTTTTACAAATGTATATGTTTAGATGGTGTCGTCTAGGCGTACAGAAAGAAGACGAAATACTGCAGATGAAGAAGAAGAAATACTGGCAGATGTAATAGTTGTATTGTGCGCTATTACTGCGTTGGAAATAGACTTCGGAACGCATGGGCGTCAGTTACGACATACATCCGTATTAATTGGTCATGATAACATGTTAGAAGTACTAAATGGTCATGATGACAAAATCTTTAGGAAGTGCCCCATGGACAAAAGCTATTTTACAAACTTATGTTACATTTTGGCACAACAAGGGAAATTGCGAGCAACCAAGAGGATGAGTATTGAAGAACAAGTCATTATATTTTCGGCAATTGTAGGTAAAAATGAGACAAACAGTATGATGATGGAGGATTTCCAACATTTGGGTGAGATGATGTCTAGATATGTTGGTGAAGTTTGCAAGGCGATATGTGAGTTGAAGACAGAGTCTATCAAGCCACTTGACTTCAGTGATGTTCCACTGGAAATATCGACCAATTGAAAATATTACCCTTTCGTTAAGGTACTTCTTCATTATTTTTTATATTACTATGTAGTTAAGTTCATTGTGTTATTAATGTTGATAGTTGGTTCATATTACTAAAATTCAATTTTGATGATAGGACTGTGTTGGAGCCATTGATGACACACATGTCCATGCTTGGGTTCCACAAGAGTTGGCCGATAGGTATCAGAATCGCAAAGGAATGTTGTCGTAGAATGTAATGGTTGTATGCGACTTTAGGATGATGTTCACTTTTGTTGTCACTAGGTGGGAATGATCTGTGCATGATTCAAGTGTTTTAAATTTAATTCTTGATAATCCTAATTCTGGATTCCTGCATCCTCCACCAAGTATAAGTACCTTCTTTACATATTATAGCGTACTAGCTCCATTTTTGAGACCCTGGAATTCAAATAACATGTGTGATTTTATTACAGGAAAATATTATTTGGTTGATGTGGGTTATCCAAATAAAGAGAGGTTCTTTGCCCCTCATAGGTGAATACCTTACCATCTTCATGATCATCGCCATAACCGAAGGGGGCCACAAGAGTTGTTTAACTACAAACATGCATCACTCCGTAATGTTGTCGAAATAACCTTTGGTGTTTAAAAAAAAAAGGTTCCATATTCTCAATGGAATGAACAATTACTCGTTGGAGAAACAAGCTAAGATTGCTATGATATGTTGTGTACTTCATAATTTTATCAGAAGGTACAATATGGAGGACCCTATCTACCAATAGTATACTGAAAATATGGGTAATGAACAAGTATATTTTGACATCCAAAACGGGGCAGAAGATGGCGAAAATAGAGAGGGATCGAGTCAACTACAACGACGTATTATAGACAACATGACGACTCTGCGAGATAGCATAACGACTGAAATGTGGGCAGAACATATGACCATGTCGTAGTTGTTAACGGAGTATAGGTGGACAAATGATTCTAAGAGTTGATAATTAGTAGCTTTGTCATATATGTATTAATGTGGTGTTTTTAAACAGTGGGATTAGTACTTTAAATTAATATGAGAAATTTGTTTTTAATTTAGTGGTTACGAAATTACCAATCAAATGTTTAATATTATTAAAATGTAAATTGATTAGTTTTTAGGTTATAATAATTAATTATTTTAACAAAATGCACCAAAATATTGTACCAATAAATCCTTTATAAAAAAATATACCAAACAAATATTCAACAATTTATTCAACTTTAATAACAAAGTCAAAATATTCAACTAAACACATTTTATTCAAATTATATTCTCGTAATAATAACCCAATTCAACTTAATAATATTATTTCAAAAATCTTACCCAAAATAACAAAACAAACACACTCGAGGATATTATGGTAGCAACCAAGAGTTTAAGGGTATATTAGTCTTCTTAAAGAAGGTTGTAAGGGTATTTTAGACTCACCAAAAATATTCTTATAAACTAATGCATTTTGTTCACATTTTGAAGGTATTTCCTAGTTATCAAATGGGTTCATATTTCTAGAATCTAGACCCGAACCGACCTTTCGTATGAATCCTGATTCGGGCGGGCTGGTGGGTCTAATCTGATCCTTTTTGTACGTGAACCTCAGTTGAAGAGTTCACAGTACAGAGGAGTCGTCTTCCACTTACCTTACCCAAACTTTTGTTGAAGTATCTGAAGCTAAGCATGGACTTGCTCTCACTTTCTTCGCCTTTATCTTCTCAATTCCATTTCATTTATAAACCCACTTTCTCTCTTCGCTGCAATTCCTTTCCTCTTTCTTTCAAACCCATTTCTTCTCTTAAAACCCCTAAATTATCTGCCAAAACCCTAGTGCTTCAACAGCAACATCCACATGTGCATTTATCTTCTGCTCCTCAGACCCCCGCCACCGCCATGCGAGGCGCCGAGTCCGACGCCATGGGCCTACTTCTCAGGGAAAGAATCGTCTTTTTGGGTAACCAAATCGACGATTTCGTAGCTGATGCCATTATTAGTCAGCTCTTGTTACTTGACGCTCAAGACCCCACCAAAGATATCAGACTTTTCATCAATTCTCCTGGCGGATCTCTTAGGCAATTTATTTTTTTATTTTTATTTTTATTTATTTTTATATTTTGATTTTATCAATTTCTTATTTCAATTCGTAACTGGAGGAATTTTTGAATTTGCGTTCGATATTCTTAGGTATTACGAGTTGTATCTCAATATTCGTAATTAAACTCTATAGAAAACAAATAGTTTCGTCCTTTTATTTCACTGGTTTGTAGGATTGCATTATAAACTGTTTTTGAAAACATTTTAACTCATTTGAACCGGAAGCGTTTTCATGAAATTTCTTATATCCTTGTTTTTGGAAACGAAAACTTCGTATTTAGATTCTATATTGAAGATGCCCTTAATTTATTTATTTTGGTTTGTGTATGGCAGTGCCACAATGGCTATATATGATGTGGTACAGTTGGTGAGAGCTGATGTGTCCACAGTTGCACTTGGCATTGCAGCATCAACTGCTTCGGTAATTCTTGGTGGTGGCACCAAAGGCAAGCGTCTCGCAATGCCCAACACACGAATTATGATTCATCAGCCTCTTGGAGGGGCTAGTGGGCAGGCAATTGATGTGGAGATTCAAGCGAAAGAAATTATGCATAACAAGAATAATATTACCAGAATTATATCTGGTTTCACTGGTCGTCCTTTTGAACAAGTTCAAAAAGAGATTGATAGGGACCGTTATTTGTCTCCAATTGAAGCGGTTGAATATGGAATTATTGATGGAGTTATTGATAGAGATAGCATCATTCCTTTGATGCCTGTGCCGGATAAGGTCAAACCAAACTTCAATTACGAGGAAATTAGTAAAGATCCGAGGAAATACTTGACACCAGATGTTCCTGATGATGAGATTTACTAGCATGGAATGTTTTTAGTGGTATGATAAATTTTCAATCTCTTTTTTGTTGTGCATTTGGGCCATAATTCATGCATTATTCTAATTTGCCATGTGTTCTACCTAGTTTGTTGGGATGAGCTTTAAGAAGATGATGTTAATATCCGTCCCCAAGTTCTAGTTGTATCAGCAATATGCATTCATGATTTTTTTATAGAGCAACTTATTCACTGTGAATTGTTAATAGAAACCTGGGGAACATGCCATGGACTTCTTAGAAGTGTCTTAATGTTTTGATGCATAAGACAGTTCTGAATGAATGACTTATCAGATATCCACAATTTTAGTTTATGATGTACTGGTTGCGATATATGGTCATAACATCTATTTAGATGTAAACTTGTCTTCACCAATTCTTTATCAAAGTTAAGATGTCATTTATTTATTTCTTTAAAGGAAGAAGTTATGTATGTGGTGGCAAGGGTTAAGAAAGTAATGGATAAAGCCCACTGCACCTATTTTTCTGTTTCCAAAATTCTCTGGGTGGCAACTGGCCCCCATCCATTTTAATGTGGTCGTCTCCTAACTTGAGTTTAATATGTGGTCACATAGGAACTGAACTTTCATAAATTAACAGAAAGTTGTCTGAATCTTAGTGTAACATGTATCTCGTTTATATCCTTGATGAAAATGACTTAGCTTCTGCGCCAAGGGGGTTGTTTAGAGTGTCAAAATTTCTGACAGGTTTCGTCTCCTTGCCTCATAGGTTTCTTAATTCTAAAGGTGGCTGTGAGAATGGTCCCAGCTGTTTTGGCACAATTTTCTCAAGTAAATGCCACCTTTACGTACTGAATTTGTTTTTTGAAGATTGTTTATTCAGGTTGTACTATTGGAGGGAGTTAGTGAAGTATTTCCCCTCAAAACACCTAGAAATTGTTCCCCATTTATATTCATTGGTCCTGCTAGTTATGCAGAAATACAGGGGCATATCACCCTTCATACTTTGTATGTGCTAAAAATGTAGCTCATTTTTGCAATTTCTTCAAAAATTCTTAAGGACAAAAGACGAAGTCGTGATTTGTGGGGTTTTTACTTTCTCTTAAAACACGGTTTTGTGTTTGCTATTCTGATTTACTCTCTATCTATTTTCTCAGTCTCACCATCCACAAAGTTACTGAATAGTGGCAAATTTTCTCAATCAGATGTTTCTGCTATGTTCATTGGCTGTGAAGTTTGAAGCTAGAATCATGATTGTTGCAGCTAATGGCACAATACTAGTATCTGTGCTCAATAAGCTGGGAAAAGTTACAAACACATAATCAGCATCTCTATTTCTCTCTTCCCTATATGTTTTATTTTGTAATGCTATTCGGGGTAAAATTATGATGGGAAAACTATGGATTAGCTTCCACGTAGTCTTAACAATTCTCATTTCGAAATCTAGAAGTCCTATGTCTGAAAATTAAGAGTGATGAAACAGTATCTCTTGGTCAGATGTTTAAAAACAATTGGCCAGTCAAGTTACAGTTGGAATAGAGGTCAGATATGTTATTTTGATTACTTTCTGATGGTCTGAAGAAGTTTGATTTTGTTGTTGGCTTTTTCTTGTAAACTATTGTATGAGTTCCAAGCATGAATATGGATAACAGTTTATCATCATTATTATTATAATTGTTGGTTTTATTATTTTGGTTGTTTTGGTGGCTGAACTGTTGTTGTGATGCTGTCACTTATTTTGAATTTCTTGAAAATGTATGTGACAGAAAGTTCTTTTCCTCCTTTTTTCTTCTAGGTCTTTAAGTCAATCAGTGGATTCTTCAGCTAGCTGTTGTCTCATATATTCCTTGCACATTTGGGTGAATGGTAATCTGCTCTCCTGAAATTGACCGGGGTGACCTGCTGCAGAACTTGGAAGCAATGCTAAGGGTGGTTTATGATCTTTCCGTTTCATTTCTGTGAACTAGAGATTGTTTGAGAATAGCTTTGCACTTTCTATCTTTGTCTCTTGCAATATAGTTCATTTATTCAAACATTTTTGCCTTCTTGTGAGCCGAAATGGCAGCTGTGTGACAACTCTTAACAGGAGCAGATAAAGCAAGAGCCTATACTGTAAAATGTCTTGGCACCCAATTTAGGCCTCGCATTGCTTGTTAGATATTTGCTTTTTTCATAGAATTTTTAATGCCT